CATCAAAAATGAGTTGAATATGTGCCAGTAACCTGACATTGAATCATAACAAAATGAAGGCACTTTTCTCATCCAAAAAAATTGTGTATATCTCATTTTTGAATCGACATACTGTACTCCAAAAGTGGCCTGAATGGCTTTTTAAAAATTGATAAATTGCAATTCATTTGATTAGCTCTGGATAGGAAAGCCTGGTTATCCATGCCCTGATTGCCTTAAAATTGTATTATACATCTGGCTTTTGTAGAAGTTCTTTCAAAACTTTAGCTCTGTGGTTGGGTTGCTTTTTTTTTCTTCCTTCTTCATAGTGCGAGTATATTCCATCAATTCTGAATGAACTTCAGGTTATCAGTCCACTTCTGAGCCTAATTTAGGATGTTGATCTTACTCCTCCATGCATTCAGCATGTATATCTGCAGAAAGGAAGCCTTCTTTTATATATCCCAAAGGTACTTTTTCAAGAGGCAACTGGACTTCCCAGTTTTCGCTTCTCATCCAAGAATGAGAACAAGAAGCCAAACGTCTTCAAAGAAAAACCAGAAAGTCCAGTTGCCTCTTGAAAAAGCACCTTTGGGACAACCATGTCGTGGATAACTGAGAATCTCCATAGAGATTCTTTTATATAGTTGTACATACAATGGCTTCCTTACAAGCCAGGACATTTCATTTTTAGGACTATGACTCATTTAGGAACTAACAATTATATACACAGTGGTTTTTCTGCTTAAAGACATCTATACTAATGCATAGATGTCTCCATAAAATTGATCTTATGTGAGTCACACATCATTGAAGATGCTGCTTTTCTGTGTTCACATAGCAAAGGCTCGAAATAATATAACTCCTAAATAGGATTGGAATTCCTGAAAGTTTTAATATTGTGGCATAACACCAAATCAGATTTACACTACTTTTCAGTTTAAATATATTTAGAGTTAATTTGAATGTGGAAAATGAGAAATGCTACAAATCTTTCAGTGTGTGCTTGTGTGTGTTACTATGATTGTGATAAATATAGTCTTCCTGCCCTCCCTGGAAGAGATATTCTATGTCACACACAGATATTCAGTTGTGCAGGATATGTTTGAAATATATGGACTGATTGGGGAAAGCACAGACTTATCATTGTTCCGCATAGTCACTGATAGGTTTCCATGAATCTGGGGGAAGTCTGAATAAATGAGGCAGGATAACTTTTATTTCAAAAAATGAGTGTTTCTGAAGAAATGGGCAAAATATCAACAGGAATTTATACTATTATTCCTGCCTCATTTATTCAGACTTCCCCCAGATTCATGGAAACCTATCAGTGTCATGCTAAGATTCCTATTGTCTCAGGTTCTTGTTTCTCTGTATAAGTTAAGGAATAGTATGTAAAAACCATCCAGTATGAATTATAGGACACATTGTAGAATGTGTCCTATCTTTAACACTTTGATGTTTCTCCAGCATCTTCCCAGAGATTCCTGTAAAGAGCAATCAAATTCTAGCAAATGAGTGAAGTCCTATGGTCATTCCAGAGCACTCCAGCTTTTTTAGGATGTTGTTTTGTTTTGTGACTGAATTTGTATTTGTCTGAACATCATGTAAGCAGGATACCAATTTATTTTTTTCAAGGTTGAATGTAACCATTTCAATAATATTTAAATGGGGAGGGGTTTCCTTTAATAGAGATTTTTTTTCCATTAATTTTCCCAAAGGAAAAAGAAGCATCTCCAAGCTGTTTGCTTCTATACCACAGAGCCCAGAGACAGCACTGTTTTGTTTTGTTTTGTTTGTTTTTTGTATTTTTATCTTTTAGTTAAGCAAAAGGCAAATTGGGTATGAGAATCTTACCTTGCATACATGCTAGAGTTAGGTGAGGTCAGTTTTTTGAACGATACGTGGTGGGAGCAGGAGCTATCAAACCATTAAGTCCAAGCAGCAGGTGGAATTTAGATTTTTTTTTAAAAAAAATATCTATTTATTTGAATAATAAATATGGCTTCCCCTCTCACAGCAGTGACTCTGGGCAGGATACAAAATTTAAAACTCAATAATTAAAAGCAACTGATGGGGCCCTAGGTAAATGACACCTTCCCACCGTAAAAATCACATCAATAATAGAATACGCCTAAACTCCTGGTCCAAAGATCAATAAGGATTGCTGAAGGAATACAGTTCCACAAGGCTGCCATTGAGAAAACACGAGTCCAGTCTGATGACATTGTTTAATAGAGGAAACAGGCTAAATCTTGTATGTCAAGCAGAAGCAGTGGGCTAAAGGTGGACCCATAAATAACCTGGCTCTATGTCATACGAAGACCCAGACAGCTTCTCCACTTTGTTCTGCACTTCTGCCTCCAAGCTTCACCTTGCATGCCTCAGCAAGTGGTGGAATAAATGGACATAAAATGATAGCTTGCAATCAATACATTTATTTAAAGTTTCTTTTTTAATTAATTCATTTATTTCAATTTATAAGCTTCTAAACTCCAATGTTTTTTATGTTTTCTGAGTGGTGCACAGGCACAGATACATAACTTGAGCAGGTAGATAGACAATTATTTTTCTAGACCATTCCCTCCCCTTAATTTTTTTTCGACAGAGAAATAAAGATTTGCACAAAGAAAAGTTACTTTTGTTTCTAGCTTCTCAGTCAACTGGATAGCTAGAGATAGGAAGAGAGCTCTCCTATCTGCTGTCGAAGAATGAAAAGATTTCTCTGCTGGCAAGGCAGACACTATGATCAAAATTTATTTTAAAGTGTGTACATCAAATGCAATCAAACTTTTAGTTCCATCTGTAAGCATACATAGAAGCCAATATTGCTGAGCTGACAAAGAGTTTCCATCAAAATATATGAGAAACTTCAACCGCGTTAATCCGATTGTTGAGGGAAAAAAATATTTTCCTCATAAATTCTTTTATATAACCTTTATAATATTCTTTCTGTAAAAGAGTCATTTTAGCCAGCTGCCTTTATTATGCAAAATCTTCTCTGCTCATAGAGGGGGCCCCAATTCTTTTTCTGTAAAACACAAACACGGCCTGAAAAGTAAGCAAGCTAGCTACTTGATTCATTTCTAGACAGGAATATAAAGGCTATGGTAGATATCATGTTTGTTTCAGGTAAAGTTGCACAGATCTTGTCAGGTCACTGGCAAGATATAAAAGGGTATCTGATAAAATTGTCCTTGTGTGAACTTCACAATTGTGATAATGTTGACTTCGAAACACCACTGAGCACACTGGCAATCTGAACATGTGATTAATTCTCCGCATAGTGCCATAACCCTGGCCTGACTAATGATGCAAGGAAGAAGGAAAGAGAGTTCCATAGGTTATAAATGGAGAAGTCATTTTCCATGTTCTTAACACTCCATCTGATGTGGGAGGTAGTTTTGACCTTTGGGCCAAGGAAGCATGTAGGACAGTTCTCCCTGGTTGTTTTTACAGCATTTCAAATAAATCCTACGCTATAATACACGTATGTGTGTGGGAGAGAGAGAGGGAGAGAGGGAGAGAGGGAGAAAGGGAGAGACAATTACAGATTACGACATATTAGCTTAATAAGTAGCACAACATAAAGTCGATACTTGGGCACTTGAAAGTGCCATATATTATTTGTCTGTATCCCAGACAGTGTATTCTTTGTGGGCTTCCAACATTTCAGTCCCCAACAACGATATAGCTTGATTTCCAAAGCACAACAAAGTCAGCAAGTTTATCTACGGATAATAAGAACTGGCTACAAATATTGAACGCTTCTCTAAATCATGATCCTCATTTCCTACAACTAGGTATAATTTTAAAAAATACCAATTTTATTATACCTACACTTGACATCTAGGAGGTGAGACCTTTCTCACTTCATTAGTGGTATTATTTTATAGCACCATGATTCTAGAGCTGCTGAACTTGAATTATATAAACCCACAGGATATGACCCACAGGAAACTTATTGTTAAAAACCAAAATTGTGAAATAAATGATCAGTACCTTTAGAGTGATAATTGTCTTGTCTTGCCAAAGGTTTATAAAACTGCGGAACAACAGATTTATTTTGAAAATTGTGCAGTGTGTTTTGAGTGTGTTTGCTGCATGATTTATAAACCATATTGTATTTTCCAATGATTTTAATAGAAAAGTGAGTTTCCTTCCCCTTTTCTTTATATCTCAAACTGCTCAGACAGGCATGAGTGCTGAACCAGGAACATAGCTATGAATGGCCCAGATGGCAATAGCATTTAGACTTGTATATTGCTTCACGGTGCTTTACAGCCCTCTCTAAGTGGTATTAGAGAGTCAGCATTTATTGCCTCCAACAATCTGGGTCCTCACTTTACTGACCTCGGAAGGATGGAAGGCTGAGTCAACCTTGAAGGCAGAGTCAGAATCGAACTCCTGGCAGTTGGCAGAATTATCCTGAAATACTGCATTGTAGCTACTGCATCACCATGTGATGTTAAAGTCATAAATAAATTTTGCCAAGGGCAAAATTATCATAACCATAATGTCTTTAGTTCAAAGTCAAGAAACACCAAGGAAAACAATATCTAGAATCCACGATACTTGATAATATGTTTAGTGGGGGTCCTCTTCTAAGTGTTTCCCCCCTCAACACGTTACATCACATATGTCTCAATAGCAGTGTTTTAAAACATATTATTTGTATTATATGCAGATTATCTCTGTTATGTTTGCAGCACTACTAAGCAAATCATTTCACAGACTTGGACTAAGCATGTTCTCTAAACCGTAGACCTAAATCTAGCTTTCTTTCTGTTGGAATTCATTAAAATGACTCTTGGATCATACAGGTAGGTGGGAACAAATAGGCAAATAATAATATAGCAAGTTTCCAACCATGGATTGAAGATTGCATTACATGAATATGTCAAAAATAATTAAATGAATACTGTAGTTAAATAGGTGGGAATTAATGTCAGCTGTCCTTTAATGCCCATATGGAATTGCAGTATAAATGAAGAAGCTCCTATTTGCTTTGTGTTTTACAGGTAGTCAGGGCCTGGATCTGGAAATCTCCAAGGCAAACTCCTTTGGATTCATTGGATGCATGTCATCTGTGCAGTATAACCATATTGCTCCATTGAAAGCTGCCTTAAGACATCCCAACCTAGCACCAGTGACAGTCCTGGGTTCGTTGTCTGAATCAAACTGCAGGTCATTGGTTGAAGTAGATGCAAATACAGCAACCTCAATTTACTCTTCCTCAGGTATGTTCAGCACATTTTACAGGTAACTAGTTTAGTAATGTTTCTTATTTGTTGCTTAAGTAGTAGATGATGGAAATATGGTACATATATAAATGGAACATTTTTTTTTATTTTTATAGATTTATAAGTTGTTGTATTCAAGAGCTTCTAGGCAATATGCAAATAAGGTACAATATGGTATCTTAATTATGTTGACGTCATCATCCTATTCACCTCCCTGTTTCTACAAATAGAGGAGAAATGATCTGGTATCCTATTTTCTATATCTGTGATGTGATGAAAAAAAAAAAAGTAAAGAAGGGATAAGCAATTAGCCATGCTGATTACGCACAGCATTATTTCCAATGTGTCTGGAAAGTTCTGTGCCTCTTGATATATAAATATTGGAAATGTAGACTGTTGGTACTAAGTGAACAGTCCTTTTAGCTCTTGTCTATTGTTCACCTCTCTCTCTCTCTCTCTCTCTCTCTCTCTCTCTCTCTCTCTCTCTCTCTCTCTCTTTTGGTCCTATTTTTGGCAATTAATAATTTTGAACTCTGTTGATATTTAACTAAATGATATCAAGCCATATTTTTGCTAGCTGGCCCGAGTGCTGGACACATTTGCTGTGATCTTGATAGAGGGATTGAGTGGCACTGTGCTGTATGCAAAGTAAACTGGATATTACTCATAGTATTTTTTTTACAATGTATATAATACAATAACCACACAAAATAACAACATTAATAATATGCCATACCAACATCTTGCCTATAATAATATTACCATTGGCCTTGATCTTATTTGTAGGGGGTTTTTTTAAATCTTATTTGTACCATAGTTCTCTCTTTGCTAATATAAACAGGCCATGAAATCTGTACTTTTGACTTGGTAAGGCTACATGAATAGAGTTTAAACACCAGAGGTTGACATCACACAAAGGATATTTCCTTAGTAACATTGTAGTTTCATCAGGGTTTAGTTGTGGAAAGCAAAAAAGATATTTTTGATGAGCAAGTGGAAGAATTATTAAACACATTTAATTGAATTCCCAGATTATTTAAAATCAGGTTTATTGTTCAAAAATCTGCTTTCCAGAGAATGAATGGTGTTCCATGGAAGTATAGAAAAGTGGGAGTTAATAAGTAAGGGTTTGGTTTGCCTACAATAGTGGTCCCCAGCCTTTCCAGCTTTGTAATGGAGGGAAGGGAATGGTTCCGTGTGAGCGGTAGACAAGTACACACATATGCAGTTCCATTTGCACAAGCTTGCGCAAGTGGAGTTACACATGCATGTGCTCCTGCTGCTTCCAGGACCCAATTCTGAATGGGTCGTAGTCTGGTACTGAGCCAAGGCCCAGGGGTTGGGGACCCCTGGCCAGTGGTGAAATCCAAATTTTTTTACTACCTGTTCTGTGGGCGTGGCTTGGTGGGAGTGGCAGGGGAAGGATACTGCAAAATCTCCATTCCCTCCCCACTCCAGGGGAACGATACTGAAAAACTCCATTCCCACCCCACTCTGGGGCCAGCCAGAGGTGGTATTTGCTGGTTCTCCAAACTACTCAAAATTTCCACTACCGGTTCTCCAGAACCTGTCAGAACCTGCCCCTGGCTTATAAGAAACTGATCCCTACAAATCTGTCTTGGGTCTGTATCTCATCATCTGAGGGGTTCTGACCAGTAATTTAGAAAGAGAGATTTTTAATATATTTTTTTAAATAATCACTTGGTATAATGAATTTGTTGCTTGAACTTTATCACCTCAGATAATCAGGAAATGCGTAGGCTGGCAGAAGCTGTTGTTTTATGTTTGTCTCTTATCTTCTCTGGGTTTAAGGAGAGACACATTATACCCTGATGATGATCCAAGCAGTTCATTTCCCACTTGTGATAATTAAATGCTCCCTTGGGCATCTTAAGTGTTTTGTATGTTGGAAAGGAGAGCACGTTGTAAAGCTAGGGTTAGTATTACCATAAGTTGGAAGAGCACATACATACACATACAGTACACAAACACATACCCATGTGGCTTTCAGATCATTTTTCCCCAAAGGATATTGATTTCCCAGGCATGGAGTAGTGCCGCTGTGGCAGTCTATCATATTTTTGTCTTTTTATGGGTTTGGCTGTTTTTGTCCACATTGCCTCACCTTGTTTTATGTTTTGAACATTTTATTTTATTTTATTTTATTTTATATTTTATTTTTCTTATTTATCTTATCTTATCTTACCTTTCTTATCTTACCTTTCTTATCTTATCTTATCTTATCATTTTATTTTAAGCTGTTTTAAGTCTTTTGGACTTTGAAAGTGAGTGGCCATAATACATTAAAATGAAATATAGTTTAGTATAAAGGTAAAGGTTCCCTCCCACATATATGCTAGTCGTTCCTGACTCTAGGGAGCAGTGCTCATCTCCGTTTCAAAACCAGAAGAGCCAGCGCTGTCCAAAGACATCTCCGTGGTCATGTGGCTGGCAATAGCTAAATGCCAAAGGCGCACAGAACACTGTTACCTTCCCACCAAAGGTGGTCCCTATTTTTCTACTTGCATTTTTTACGTGCTTTCGAACTGCTAGGTTGGCAGAAGCTGGGACATGTAACAGGAGCTCACCCCATTATGCGGCACTAGGGATTCGAACCGCTGAACTGCCGACCTTTTGATCGACAAGCTCAGCATCTTAGCCACTGAGCCACCACATCTCTTTTATAGTTTAGTATAAATTATACTAAAATTCATTTTCATATAAAACAATAATATGTTCATGTCTCATCCCAAAAATGCATTCAATATTATAAAACCTACTTCAGTTTAAAGAAGAATATATTATATATCCCAACGAACTCTTGTTGCTTTCAATAAACTGGAAGGTTATGTCCTGAAATGATTTTGTTTTTCTTTCCTACTTAATTACAATTCAGCATTATTGCTTTGTTCCTTTTGTTCTAAAACTGTCTGGATTTCTTCCAAATCACCATTTCATTCCATTCACTATGTCTGAGATATTATGAAGAAAACACTAGAATCTGTTAACAAAAAATAGAAACAAATTATTATAAGATCTTCGTGTTGAATGAGTTCCAGTTTATATGTGCTTTCTCTCTCTTCTGTAGTCACTAGATTGCCTTGTCATAGCTGTTAGTGACAGTGAAAGCAATTCTTACTAATGCAGATTGGCAGCACCTTAAGTGGTTTTTCTAGGGATGTGTAAAAAGATGTGAGTGTGCTCTTTCTCCGTGCAAATCTATTCTTATTTGTTAATGCTCTAGAATAGATGTGAGCAAGTATTATCAACTGAGGGCCCGTGAAATTTTTAATATAAGCTGTATAAACAAACAAACCTAAAAATAGACTACCTTGACTTTATTTTGTTTTATCTCTGCCTTTCTCTGTCTCTGTCTGCTCTTTTTCTTTGTGTGTGTGTGTGTGTGTGTGAGAGAGAGAGAGGGGGGGGAGGGAGGGAGGGAGAGAGGGAGAGAACTATACCAAATATGCTATTTGAAAGCAATTAATTCTCAATATTTTGTGTGGATTTCTTAGCTAACCTTCTTAGCTAACATTAATATGTATTAATTGGGTAAATGCTATTTGTTGCCAAATGTGTATTTAACCAAGGTATTTCCTTCTGAATGAACTTTATTAAAAGCCTGGCAAATAAGGTCTATGGTCACTGGATTTGAAAAGCATCATTTTCTTCTGAGGCTCAGAATCTTAGTTTTCATTCTGGGCAAGTTGCAATGAAACTGATAGACTCTCCCTAGAAAAGACTGAGGCAGATGCTAATCCACAAAAAAAGTTACAGTCATGGTTGAGAAGCTTTCCAGATCAATAGAGGCACCATGTGAAAAAATGCCAAAGATTGTGGAGAATCAGCAAAAATTGGATGCTTCAACTTGCACTTTCTGACTGTCCCAAGCCACCTTTGGATGCTCTTGGGGATATTTTGAAATGCATTACCATCATTATTTCTGTGCAAATCACTTGACTAATATGAGACAAGTTCCAGAGTGAAGCACCAAAGATACATGTATAGAAAAGTTAGGGTTTGTTTTCATTTCTTTGCAAAATACAACTAGGGTTGGGGTTTTTTGGTGGTTGTTTCTGAGGGGTGGGGTGGGGAATCTCTGCAGTGGAAAATATGCACTGGTCAACATTTCTCCATCTCCTGATTCTGCAGAGTGCAGAAGAGACTCAGAGTGGAATTTACTGTCAATGGGTTTTCATCTATCAATCTGAAATGAATTCTATTTACTATTTATGCCTCTGGGTAAAAAGATGCTCAGTCTCTTCATGCATACATCTCATTGCAGATACATAGTTTGCCTTCCATTTCTAATGTTATTTCCTCACTTTAAAAAGAACCATTTTCTAATGCAATATATAAAATTTAAATTCACCTCTACATTAAAAAAAAAAAAATAATTAAAAATAACCAGAAGGTGATAGTTCTTAATTCTAATATTGTTTTATTAATTTAAGAATATATACAGTAATCAGAAGCCTCGGGCTTTTGGATGGCTCCCAGGAACTTTACAAGAATTGCCATCAGCTGTAGTTTCCTATCTGATGGAAAAGGGAAAAAAAGGGAGAACAAACAACTAAAATTTTATTTTATTTAAATTTAACTATAAACATATCAACTCTATTGTTTTATTTAGTTTTAAATAAAATTAAATTTCAGATTTTATGCAAGCCTGATGCGACAGTATGTTGGCTTGTTCAGATCAAAGATCCTAACTTGCATACTATTAGGTGAACTTTGGTTGTTCTTGTGACATACTGGTTGACGTGTTCAAACCATACTTACTGATAGCAGGGAATAATAAATGGGTAATAGGTATAACTAACAGTGGTATCCTACCTCAGAAATTCTATAACTTACTAAAAAAAATGTGAAAACGTTGATTGATTGAAGCCATGACGGACAGAAAATGTCAACATCCATCAGGCCAGCTGGAGATCATCAGCTTATAGAAAATTATATCTTGATATACACTATAAGACAGATAATTGATAAAAGGCCACAAAAGGAAGGAAGGACAGATGGACGGATGGACAGACGGACAGAAGGAAGGAAGGAGAAAAGGAGAGAGAGAGAGAGAAAGAGAGAGAGAGGGAGATGCTTGCATTATTTCTTTATTGTTTAATAAATGGATGGATATATTTATAGATACCTGAAGGCTGTACTCACAGTCATTTATACCTTCCTCATATCCCAATTGGAATAGTTCAATGCACTCTATATGGGGCTGCCCCAAAGAGTATTCAGAAGCCTCAGCTGGTGCAAAATGCAGAAGTACAGGCAGTTGTGGGTGCCTGTTGTTTAGCACATGGGACACCTCAGTTCTGTGAGCTGCATTGGTTGCCAGTAAGCTTCCAGATACAATTCAAAGTGCTTCTAACTACTTGTAAAGCCCTTCAGGGTCAGACTAGTTACAGGACTGTCTCTCCCTAGTTGTTTCTACCCATCTCACCCAGTTTAGTGGGAAGAGTATACTCCAAGTTTTGTCATCCAGGAAATATTGTTTGGCCGGGCGCAGGAAGAGAGCCTTTTTTGCCATTGAATCCACCCTCTGTAATAGCATCCTCCCAGAGATTGGACTCTACCTAACCCTGTGAGCATATTACAAGGCCTCAAAGAACTGGTTCTGTCCTCAAGCCTGGGGTGCTGATGGTGTGGGTGAGCCTATTATTTGATGGTACTAACTGCTATTTATTTTATTTATACTTTTGATTGAAATAATTCAAATTCTGTTGGCTAGAATAAGGTGCTTGAGATGGCCAAGCCTAAATTTCATCAATAAGTTAATAAATGCAATGGATAAATAAACAGTTGCCACTGTATTGGTTTAAGATGCAAAACTGTGGCTAAGAAACCAAATGATTTGTACTGAATCTTGATGTGATGCAATGAGAGTATGGATCTAAAAATTGCATCAAGTTACGACTAAACAGAGAGGAACTAGAGCAAGTAGATGCATTTGTGTCTCTTGGAAGGATGTTTAGCAAAGGTGGCAAAATGGGTGGAGATATTTTAAGATGTACAAATGACAGTGAAAACATATGTTGACAATATGTTGCTATTGTAAAAAAATTATTGAATGAAGTGCAAACAGCTGCTTATAAGAATGGGCTTCTGCTCATTTTTTATATACAAGTAACAGTTGGATATGTCAGGAGAAGCATAAGAGTCAGTTAAATGAAGTGGGAATGGGGTATGCAAGAATCATGTGGTTAATGAGATAGGATCAAAGGTACATGGGCACTGAAGGAAGTTGACTGAATAAAAATAAATGAGTGGTGAGTACAACAGAAGTACATCAAGCAGTGGTGGGTTTCAAATTTTTTTACTACCAGCTCTGTGGGTGTGGCTCAGTGGGAGTGACATGGCTTGGTGGGCGGGGCTTGGTGGGCATGGCAGGGGAAGGATACTGTAAAATCTTCATTCCCACCCCACTCCAGGGGAAGGATACTGTAAAATCTCTATTCCCTCCCCATTCCAGGGGAAGGTTATTGCAAAATCCCCATTTCCTCCCAATCAGGTGGGACTTTGGAGGCAGAGAATAGATGGGGGTGCGGCCAGTCAGAGGTGATATTTACCGGTTCTCCGAACTACTCAAAATTTCCACTACCGGTTCTCCAGAACTGGTCAGAATCTGCTGAAATCCACCTCTGACATCAAGGTGAGTTAGTATATATAGAGAATGAAGTTTGGAAATAAGATGCTAGAAGGTGATTGTTTGTGTTGTAATAAGTCTACTTGCTTTTAAAAAAATCAAAAATATAAAAAGCAATATTATAGCCAATTGGGGCAGAAGGTCTAATGGGTGTGAAGGAAATTGTTTGTAGAAACAGTGGTGCTTCCAGGTGCTATACTGGCCAAGCTAGGATTTGGAGCTTCTAATGCTGATCTATTGGAATAATTCTGAGCCTATCAAACCTTAGAAGTATTTCTACCTCCAGGAGTAGATCTTGGCCTTTGCTACAAATCAGGACTCTTTAGAATTATGAAACAGTAAGCAGATAGTTGGCAATAAAACCTGCACTTTAAGTTGCTGCAAGTTTTACAAATAAAAATTTATCCATGGATGGTTGATGCCTCCACTGGGAGAACTCTAGTCCTTTCCACTCCTTTGTTTTGTCCAATCAAACTTCCTTGCTTAATAACATTTCTTCCCCAAAACTAAAACTGTCTTTATCCTTTGGAGAAGGAAGCAGTGGAGGCAATTTTGAATGCTGACACATATATAAACAGACAGACTGACACTCCATTAGTGCTGTATTTATATAAAAATAAAACAAGCGAGGAAAATCATACAGTATGTATCTGAAAGGAAGACTATTTTTTTACCAAATTATGTAATTTTAAAGTGATAACATCTTAAATTCTTTAAAAATGTAATAGTGAAAGCAGATTTGGGATTTTTAAAAACCTTTTCTTTATATGGAAGGCATCTTAAATTCAGGATCCTCTTTCTTTTGAGATAAAATGACCTAAGCGTTGGCTCTTGAAGTGTTACCAGAGCTTTTAAAAAAGGAACAAATTGTAGATGAGTTTCCTGTCAACAATTTGGGAATAGTAAATAGTGTAAATATTTATTTTAAAAATCACTATATATGTATTAATGTGGCCCTCAAAAAAAAAACAAAAAAACCCTTTCAAACGTTCTCAAATCGTAATGTTCAATGAAATGTGGTAAAATCAGTACATATGTGGCTGAAGAGTAATTGTATTAATTTTCTGTCAAGGTCAGAGTCAATGAAATGAAACAATATTTATTTTATTATCTTGGCTGCATCCACAAGTTTCTGGAGGATGGCCTCTGGGATATCTCTCAAAGGTCAAGTATGAGTCTCAGAAAAAAAGATCAGCACCTTAATGATATAAGCACTACAGGGGTGAAATCCAACAGGTTCTGACAGGTTCTGGAGAACCGGTAGCAGAAATTTTGAGCAGTTCGGAGATCCAGTAGCGGAAATTTTGAGTAGTTTGGAGAACCAGCAAATACCACCTCTGGCTGGCCCCAGAGTGGGGTGGGAATGGAGATTTTGCAATATCCTCCCCCCAGGAGTGGGGTGGGAATGGAGATTTTGCAGTATTCTTCCCCTGCTATGCCCACCAAACTACACCCAACAAGCCACACCACGCCCACCAAGCCCCACCCACAGAACCGGTAGTAAAAAATTGGATTTCACCACTGAAACATTACCTTGGTTTTTCTTATGAATTACAGATCCATTTGGGAAGGCTGATGATAAAGAACCACTCAGCAATGCTGTCAGAAGTGATTCAGCCTTCATTGGAGGTAAGTTGAACAAATCATGTTTTTGCAATCAAGAGCCATGGTGGCACAGTGGTTAGAATGCAGTATTGCAGACTAATTCTGATGTCTGCCAGCAGTTCGATCCTGATTGGTTCAAGATTGACTCAGCCTTCCATTCTTCCTGGGTCAGTAAAATGAGGACCCAGATTGTTGGAGGCAATTTGCTGACTCTGTAAACCACTTAGGGAGGGCTGTAAAGTACTATGAAGCAGTATATAAGTCTAAGTGCTATTGCTATTCCAATTCAGCTTGCAGAGTTGGGTGATATGCCTTAGTGATTCTTCAACACTCATTTTCTTTTAGTGGGTATAACTGCTAAAAGAACTTTTTCTTACCTTTCTCAATTGTCCAATTTTTCTTATTTGAAATTGTATGTAGGCAGAGTAGAGGAAGAATAATATTTGTGAGTTTTTATAGGGATTTTTTTCCTTTTGTTTGTTGCTATTTTAATTCTGCTGGAAGCTATGGAATATGCAATTACATGTGCTAGTCCCAGTGATTTCTTTATCCATCCACAATTTATCTTTAGCAGCACCAGAATCATGAGCACAGAAAAGCAAAACACTATTGGCAGGAGCTGTCCTTTTTATCTTAGCTTGCTTTTCCTGAGATGGATTGGAACTCAGAACCATTAAGAAGAACATTTATTTGAAAACTGATTGTAACTAATCGCCAGCTAATGTAGTTGCCTTGTAATGGTATCTATCACTACTGTGTCCAGAGACTTAGAAAATATTTTAGTTCAGTTTTGTGTTCTACAGCATAGTTCCAAAAAGCATTTTGAAAGATGAGCAGTTTTCTGAGTTTATTTGGGGTCACTCCTCTTTGTCTCATTGCACAATTCAGTGAAGTATTTTCAAACTTTATGACCCATTGGACTTCACAATTAGGTAACGTGAATTAGAGTACCAAAGAGAAAGTAATTGAATTAGTACTATATCCATTAAGGATTGACCATCCCAATCCAATTGAATGAATATCCAGTTTCAGCTAGATTGACTTGAGACCATGAATGTTTTAAATCTCCTCAATAGTAATTATGATAATTGAGAGTTCTTATCAATGCATAACTTCTATTTATAGGCAGATTGGTGCTTAGATGTCATGGAAACTTGGTAACAAAGTATATTCATTTAGGCTTCATTTGGGAGGAGGAGATTGGCTATTCCCAACATCATATGAGCAGATCTCCACAATGGATCTCCTTTCCTTCCTCCTGCATGAGTACCACCCTTACCTCCAGATGTCTCCATCTACTGTAGACCTCAACATCTCAAAGGCATATTTAAGAGCAGTATGAGGGACTCCAGAATAGCTTGCCATTTCCCTAACCAATAGACACTGATGAAATAGCAGTGAAATCTTGCATAATAATAATCTGTGCATAAACAATATTTGCAGAAGTAATTCAACATGAAATATAGTGCAGCCGGGTTTGGCTGGTTCTCTCTTGATCAGGAAGAAGTTGGGGTTAAGTATAACAAACCTGTATGATTATAGACAAAATTCACTTGAGCAGCAACAGTGAACTTCACAACAAAACGAAATCTGTTCTGCTGAATAGGCCATATACCTCATTCTGAACTTCCCCTTATGTTTACATTTTGTCTTTTGCACCTCAGGTGTTATTGCAGTTGTGATCTTCATCATCTTTTGCATTGTGGCCATTATGAGCAGAGTCCTCTATCGGCACAAACAGACTCATCGGAACAGCCAGACGAAGGAAAAAGAGTATCCAGAACACCTTGACCGTTCTTTTAAGACTGAGGTTGACTTACAGAACCCAGTGAGCGAGTGCAAACGAGAATACTTTATCTAAAAGACTCCCTCACTCCTTGTTACACTTTGGCATTTCCATGATGATGATGATGATGATGATGATGGTAGTGATGGTGGTGATGGTGTTTTTAATCCATCTGTTACTTTGGAATTTCCCCACTCTTTGGAAAGAACTAATAGACACAGAAGAAATAGGCAGAACTGCACTGTTCTCCATCCAAGGTCACCATAGATAACACCTAACTGCTCAAGCAACCGTGTATTCTAACTAAGTTCGTCATTACATGCATGGTTGACTATTTAGTTTCTGGATTTCTGAGATGTTGCTTTCTGGACCATTTCATGTTGGACCTGAGTGATATATACTAGAGGTAAAGTGTGCAAGCTAATTATATAGCATTACAGCTATTGCAACAAGGTAGTGTGAAAGAACAAGATCAAATTATCTCGCTAAAAAAAATGTATTTAAGATGAGCCAAATCCTTTGTCCTGCAAATTGGCATAATTCTGTTTTGTGTCCGTGGTGCTCTGCTGAATTTGCAAACTAAGGATCTGGAACAGCCTTTTTCATTCATGTTGTTTTTGATCACTTCTTTTCCTTCAAAACTGAAACATTTGTCTAACACAAGGTCAGAGTTTGCAAGACCATATTTCTGAATGGGCAGGCTGGAGAAAGCTGAGACTACTGGGATAAAACTGTCAAGTGTTTGCCCTTCTTGCATAACCCTCTTTAGATTCTGGGTCAATTTGGTTCAAGAATCACCTGGCACTCAAAGTGGGCTTGTGAGACTATGAGAAACAGCTTGGTTTTGTAAGAGGCGTCACTCAATCACTCATGTCCTCCAGGATAGAAGAGTTTACAAGCCTGCAGTAGAGTTGGCCTAAAGATGGAGAAGAGCAGAAACATTTCCATTGGGCTTGAGCACCAGCAATGCCTCTGGCATTCCAAAATAATTTGTAAGTACTCTTCATCTGAGGGCCACCTGGTTCTTGTCCTTTGAAGGGACGCTTTGTGGCTGGGCCAGAGGACCCCTGTGAGGAGGGCCAAAGAGGCGGGAGATGTGTCATGTGCTCAGGGTTTCAGCAAATCCAAAGAGGCTCAAGTGTATCCAATGAATGCTTAACCTCTGCTTTGGCCTCTGAGCATCACCTTTCCCATTGGTTTCTTGAGGAATTGCGCTTTCCTCCTCATTGAGCCTTTCTGCTCTCCCTCTTGGGCAAAATCTTCCAAAGGACCTAGAAAGGGGGCTTAAGTAGTGCTCCTCTGTACCACTTTCAATGTAGGTGTGAGTCAGGGGTTATGCAATCTGCCTGCAGGCCCTTCATGAAGCCACATTTAAATAGGGCCTAAGGGACTTCAGGGACACAGAAGACTAGCCCCTCTGTCATTTGTAGCTAAAATCACTCTCCCCTCCATCCCCAAAACACACATGTAAATGTTCACTTTTTTTTCTTTCCCTATTAATTTTGATCTGGAAGTTTTTTATTTGAAAATTGTCCTCCCTCCCTCCCTCCCTTTTATTTTTAATGTAGCATCTGGAATGGAGAGAATTTTTTCAAATAAGGTATTCAGTCTAGGGAAACAGTTCCGCCACATTTCTGATAATGTTTATAGCTGAGTAAAATCAACATTTTTTTTCAGAAGTGGTACTTCCTATGATAGAAGCAACCAAAAAATCAGGAGTGGGGGAGCTTTGTGACATTTGCAAAAGTACCAACCTGGCAGTTTTTCCATTTCAACAGAATGATTAATGGGAATGATCACACACAAACAGACACACACAGAGAGAGAATTCCCATATTATGTTGTAGCAATGTTTTGATTAAGTCAGTGCAATTTTGCTATAATGAATGTTGCCACTACTTTCAGCAATGATTGTGGTAGGGATTCTGGCTTGTGGAGGCTATGGATTTCCTGTCCCAATTTAAAGCCTTTGTTATAATGTCTCTATTATAAACCACCCATTTGAAAAAGGAAAAAAAAAAAGCATGCACACATACAGACACATCCATTAAAATTTTCCAACAGCCTTCTCCACTTTTATGGAAGAAAACATAGTCCTATGGAAAGGAGGATCCCTTCTTCCCCCACTCCTCCCCCCACACACACACACACATTATAGGGAAAAGACTATTCAATCAAAAGTCCGTCTCATAAAGTTAGATGCAATCAATAATTTTTACTGGATCACGAAGCAATAGCCGAGGCAGAGGCATTAGCTCCTTCAATTCACAGGCACTTTAGCAGCTTCTTAGGTATTAGGACATTGTGTAATCTCTCACATGAATAAATGGCTTAGTGATGTTGCTAAGAAATGACACTTGAACTTAATTTGCATGCAAAAGATTGAAGGTGGTGGCACCAAGCACTAGATATGTAAATATAAACAAAAACCCCACGTTTTAAATGCCAAGGCTTCCCCCTGCAAATACGCTATGAAAAAAAATGTGAATTTCCTAAAGAACACATTTTTATCAGAACCATCCTGTCTCTTTTGAATAACATGTAACTTAATTTCCAAGATGAGATCCACACATTTTAAAATTGCTAAGGTTGAGAAATACTATTCTAGATCAGTATCTAGATTCATTTTTGGTTCATATTTATATCCATTTCATTTTGAATATTCTATCAAGGACTGACTGAGTAACTGACTGACTGACTGACTGACTGACTGATTGACTTTATTTAAAGTTTTATGCCTCCCATCTCCTCTACAAAATGTCTCTGGCTGGTTTATGCTCCCTGATGCCAGAGATTTTCATTTCATTTTATTAAATTTGTATACCGCCCTACTCCCGAAGGACTCAGGGCGGTGAACAGCCATAAATAAAACATATAGATACAAAATTTAAAATAGAAATAAAACTAATTAAATAAATTTGGCTGAGACATTTTAAAACCCCAATAAATTAAAACCAAATTTAAAATTCCATTTAAAAAGAGGAAAAGTTTAGGTCGGGCCAGCTTGATGGAATAAAAACGTCTTAAGCGCGCGACGGAAGGTACGCAGATCCAGAATCCTCCGTATCTCCGGGGGGAGCTCGTTCCAGATCGTATTCCAGATTTGCTATTATTTTTCAGCCAGGAATTATCTTTGGCCTGAGAATGAATTGATCCGGGACGAATATTAACTTAAGTTTAATTATACTAACAGTTTTGAGTGAGACTGTTAGTACAATTCTTTTCAGTATATTTAATGGTTTTTGCTGGTATATTAGAAATTACAGTTGGACCCTAAATTTGGCGGACTTGAGAGATCTCGCTTGGAGACTCTGGAAAGCCACATCAACCCTTGATTTTCAGATTGTACATCTCCAATGTAAGATGAGAATGCAATCAGACTTTGTGTGCTGCACTGTATGTGTCTGGGCTGCTGATGTGTCTATTTTGGCAAAGAAATACATGTTTATTCCTGATATCCCATATAGTCCTCCGTCCCTCTCATCTGTGCAATACCTGCATCATTATAGTACAGGACTTTGTACAAAAATATCAAATTTTGTTTCATTTAGTTCTGGTTTTTTTCTCTTTGTTTGCTTCCCAACCCCACCCAAGACAGATTATGAAGCAGAAATTATGCTTTCAGGTGAAATTTGCTTGTTTGTCTGTCTGTCTGTCTGATTGATTGATTGATTGATTGATTGATTGAGTTCTATAGCTGCCCATCTCAGCAAACAACTCTGGGCATCTCACAATTCAGAAAATAATTGATAATAATTCTTTCCCCAAAGTACAGAAATTCTGTAATTTAGTGGACTGTAGTGATAATAATAGCAAAAATGTCATAGATGATTCTTTGGCCATTCTCAAACATTCATGGTCATCAACATTTACACTTCCCTGAGTTCCCTGAGTTCCGTAAAGTGATTCTTCCATTGGGCTCATTAAATTTAAGAAATGAAGCAGCCAGGGAGGCTGCAATACAATGGGAAAATATGTGATAGAAGGGAAGACAAAAGGGAAAAACTGTCTTCAGCTACCTCCTCAGTGATAGGTTATTCCTAGTTCGGCCTAGTTCGGGGGAACTGGTAGTGATGGCAGTGGGAGGCTTCGCCCATCCACCCAGACATCATCAAAAATGCTCTGCGCATGTGTAGAAGCGCCATGCGCGCACTCACTTTGCGAGCGCGAGCGCCCACATGCTATCGATAGCAAACTGGTAATGCTGGGATTTGAAACCCACTACTGTACCTCCCGTGTTAAGTAACCTTAGCTCATGGCAGGAAAAGACAATTATATTCCGTGAGTCAAAGCATAGATAACTCATGACTAATATAGTGTCGTGCATTGGTGCACTGTATCACCTGCTTTTCTTGGGTGAAGATCTGGTATAGAACTGGAATTTAAAACATTTCCCATCCTATCTTGACATGTGATCCAGGAAGATATAGAGAATCTCTTCTCTGAAGATAGATATATATAATCTTTGAGTTTGTTGTCTTGCTAGTGAAATTGCTCACTGCTATTACTGAATCCCTCTACCTAGAAAGAGGATCTCTCATCCAGCTCTCAACTGCAGTTTGATGCTTTAGGATGAAGAAATCTTTCTCTTTCTAGGTTGTTGTTTCATTTTGGGTGATATCAGCAGCATTTCAGCCTGTAATTTACCATCCTTGCTTGAGTAACCCAATCAAACAAGCCTCACCTGAATAACCTGTCTTAATACTGCCTCCTTTTTTTTAAAATTGTCTTTAAAACTTAATTCTGCTTCTTGCTGAATTCCACTCATAGGAACCTAGACCAGGGATGAGCAATTAATTTTCCCAAGGGGCCACATGAGAAACTGGGACTGGGCCACTACAGACCTGCCCTCTGCTATGGCCTCACCCTTATCAAGGCTGTGCCCCCTGCTGCCATGATCCCTCCCCCACTACCAATACTGCAGGCTGCACAGAGACAGCCAAAGAGCCAAATACGGTCATGCCCAGGTCTGCTCCTAGGCTACCTGTGCAGAACCTGTGGCTCCCAGGTGTTGCTATATTATAATTAACCCTGGCTAAGAATGGAGAATTCTATGAGTAGTTATTCAACTTTATATCTTATCTCATTTTGCCAAGCTTCTTACGTTGTCTTTTAAAGCAAAACAGCAAATTTGTCCAATCTTGGCCCAACCATTCTACTGATTATATCTAAGGGGTAAACAGCAAGAATTTCCTTTTATCTCAAAAGTTTTTAAAAATGTATTTCCTACTTGCCATGGGCATTTGTATGTACAGGTAGTCCTCGACCATAATGAGCCCAAACTTTCCATTGCTAAGTGAGACATTTGTTAAGTGAGTTTTAGCCCATTTTACAAGCTTTCTTGCCACAGTTTTTAAGTGAGTCGCTGCAGTTGTTAAGTTAGTAACACAGTTGTTAAGTGAATCTGGCTTTCTGATTGACTTTGCTTGTCAGAAGGTCACAAAAAGTAATCCAGCACACTGCCACTTGTCATAAATATGAACCATTGCCAAGTGTCTGAATTTTGATCATGTGACCAAGGGGATGCTGCAATCGTCGTCTGAAAAATGGTCAGAAGTCACTTTTTTTCAGTGCCACTGTAATTTCATACACTCACTAAATCGGGGTGTTAAACTTGAAGTATCACATTGTCGTCACGTGACGTATTGTGACTCCCCCCCCCCCCCCCTTGCTAAAATGAGTGGACATGGCTAGCACATGATGCATCCAGCCCATGGGCCACGAATTTGACACCCCTGCACTAAATGAACTGTTGTAAATTGAGGACTACCTATATGGGGTTGTTGTTGCAGGTGGTGGTGGGAATGTGGCAAGCAGAACAAATTATGAACACATCTGAACACAAATTTCACCCTCTTTTCACTTGCAAAGAAAATTGCATGCAAGCAGATAAGAGGTGGAGTTTGTGTTATGGCATCATCATACATCCTAACTTTCTTTAATGTATTTTCTAAGTGAAAGTCTAGCAAACAGTGATAAGATGCAAATGTGTATCACTTTCACACTCAGCCCTTGGGATAGGCCATTCATCAGCTGACTCCGTGTATCTAGATAACAAAAATGACATTATGTGGCCAGAATATTCAAGGCATTGAGAAAGCTCTGAGTGAATTATACCTTTTTTCTGGTGTACAAATTCCTTGATTTTGACTTCAGGACATTCGTAGAGTGCATCTAGGCAGAACGAGATTTTTTCTTCTAAAGCTTACCAACATGAAACTAAGTGATAAGCTTATCAGTAGAAAAACACACTTGTTACTTCACTAATGGGTGGCTTCTTCATTCTGAGATATTTTTCTTTGAGCAGCACATTCATTGTGAGCTTTGGTATTTTATAGAAAGCAAAATCCCAAGATCTGAAATAACTGCTAATGTTTTTATTATAAAGAGCTAAGCAAAAAAAGAATAGTTATTTTCCTGAATGCAGAGATTGGTCTTATAATTCATACAATGATTGTTAATCAGATGTTGTAGGCTATTGTTAAACAATCCAATGAGAAACTTGGAAATGTAGATAATGTGGTACAAAGGTAAAAGCCAGGCTCTGCAGGTTGTTGGTGATTAACCTCTCTTGAATTTTAATTGTATCACATGACTTTTTTAAAAAAAAATTTCAAAACCTTTGTGGATTCAATCTACCTAGCCCCTGATGGTCTGATGGCTAGGTTACATAATATATTATCCAAGATCAGGTTTTGTGGTTGGTCAGTTCTCTTCAACCCATTTCAGAGTCTTTTGGAATTTTCCAGAATTGCTGCTTGATCTATCCTGATAAGCCCCCCACCCTGCCCCAGTTCAACAAATGACTCTGGGTAGCAAATAATCTTTAAAAACAATCCCAATCATCAACAATAGGAAGTTATTGATTTACAACCAAAATTGGAACCAAAATTTCCATTGCTAACAAGGCAGTTGTTAGGTGAATCACACCGAATTTTACAACCATTTTGCCCCAGATGTTAAGCGTATCACTGGAGTCGATATGTGAATCATGCCATTGTTAAAGTGACTCCAGCTTTCCCCATTGACTAAGGTCACATTTCTCTCCCTCTGTTGTTCCACAGTAACAAATATCCATTTAAACAGAAAATTTTCAGAAGTTTCCCAAAAGCCAGGATAAAAAAAAAAAAAATCAAAACTTGCATCCATAGTGAAGGTATTCCATACAGTTGATGCTATCACCCAAAAGATTTGTCTTCTTGCCCTCCCTCATTTCACATGGGAGCAGCAACTTGAGCAGGGTCTCTTTTGATCTAATGAGAAAACTGTGACATTTTGAACATGGCAGTTCCTAAGATATCCTGGTGCTATACCATATAGAGCAGTGGTTCTCAACCTTCCTAATGCCGTGACCCTTTAATACAGTTCCTCATGTTGTAGTGACCCCCAACCATAAAATTATTCCTAAAACCATTGAAAATATGTGCTTTCTGATGGTCTTAGGTAACCCCTGTGAAAGGGTCATTCGACCCCCCCCAAAGGGGTTGCGACCCACAGGTTGAGAACCACTGATATAGAGCTTTTAAAGTCATCTAAGTGAGTGGTGAAAGCAGATCTAGTGGTAATCAATCCCACAACTTAATTACTTCCTTTTGCTTTAAATCTTTTCATTAACTCCATTGGATTCCCAAAAGTATACCTAACAAATGTAGACTTATTTCTCTGACACCACCATGTTATCTGTGCAGTGAAACCCATGAATGATGTCTACTGGCCCTAGATAGAACAAAATAGACAACCTTAGCAGTTCTGGGATTTGCTCTGGTTTCTAATTGCCTATGATTAGAAAAGCAATTGGCCTCCTCTTCCAGGAGAAGCCAACAACCCATCCCAATGCCATTGAAGCAACATGGAGCTCAACTGTTCCTTCCCCATCAGCACTATGAAGCAGCCTATCTAAAAAGTGTGCGGTATCTTCCATCTTTACACTTACAAGTAAACAAATTACCAGGTGATTTACATGATATCATAAACCCATTTGCCTGCGATTTTAACAATTAAATCACTCTCAAGTAAAAACTCTCCATCAGCCAGAGGAGTGCCATGGTATGAGAAGAGATAGATCTATCATCCAACAATTGGGATCTCCTGTGATGACTTCTCCTTTAACCTTAAAGTTATGTCTTCCTCATTCAAACTGCTTTTTCTCTAGCAGAAGACAATTACTATCCTGGCAGATCTCATCTATCGTATATATTTTCTGTCTTTGTTTATACAGCTGCGGTTCAGCCACTGAGTTTCAAGGGAAATGCTTCCTGAAAACCAAAAACTCATTGTCCCTAGAACAAACCCATAACTTATGTCCAACAGTCAAATGATTGATATTAGACTCTGGATCCAATAATCTGGAAAGCACACCCTCCCTTTCTAATTTTCTAGTTTTATACAACTTACTGTTTTTTACTATTCTTTTTTAAGGAACTGTTGGACTAGAAGACTGATTCCTATGTTGCACTTCTATAGAACTTGACGCACTGACTTCATCACCCAGTAGCTAAACTCCTTTTGCTCATCAGTCTCTAGAAATGGACAGTCTTTTCATCCTGCAATCCTCCCCTCTAGAATTCCTTCACAAACCTTCTCTTATGCTTGTTTGCTCCCCTGTTTGCTAATTTTGTTCATATGCTCCCATCTGTTTCTCCTCTTTCCAAAAAACGCTGACAGGGTCTGCATAAAGCTAATGACAATTTTCTGGAAAGAGGGCGAAAAACAGTAGAGGGAAGGTATGTTTGCAAATCATTGTTTCCTCTAGACACAGAGGTATCAAAATGGCAGCCCACGGGCCAGATGTGTCACGAACAGGCCACACCCACCCCTTCCCACTGCAAAGGGAAAAACATCAGGAAACATCATGTGACACCGCAAGTTTGATACCTGTGTTCCAGAGGATATGTATATAAGATGCTTTCTATCCAAAACTTAACTGTTTTCAACTACTTCTATGTATACAATTCACTGAATTATACTATCTCATGTAACCTTCAGCAAGCACCTGATTTTGTCCATTTGCTTGATATTTAATAACTAGGAGCTTTCCTAATGTAATATGTGGCTATGGTGATACTTAGAAGATGTATTTATATATTTCCAACTCCTCTTGCCCATACATAAAAATAAATAGCATTTCTTCAGGTTATGTTCTGAATTATGGCTAATGGCAGGGGTGGAGTGAGATAAGGGCAGAAGAAAAAGAGAGAAGCCCAAAGAATTCCAAGTATTAATTAGTTCTTTTTCTTTTTAAGGACCCCACATTTTTCCTCATTATTTTGACAGTTCTTTGATCAGGTCATTTTATTTTATATGATTTCACTAACAGGGAACCATTCATTCGTGGCTCATTTAATTGCATTCTGAAAAGAGGAAGGAGAAAGAAGTGGAATTCACATTTTTATTCCAATAACTTTTCCTCCTATAAATTATTGTGCCATATTTTCCCCTTATTCAACACAGCTGTTATAAATCACCCGTTTGCTCTGCTGCACATTCTTTTCTTCCCTTGATAGAAAAGTCCATTGAAAATGTACCAAATTTAGCCCCAAGCTGAATCTCTAATGAGATCAAAAGAAAAGTTCAGGACAATAAAACAGAGCTGGATTCTGAATCCATGTACATGCACACAAGCAGAAACGCACATGCATATAGATCACACAAGTAGATAGGAATATACATATAGAACAAACACTCAGCTCACACACTTAAATGCATATACAGACATTCTATCTTACTTCATTGGTCATACAGAGTTTTTCTGACAATGAATCTCTAGTTTTTAGCTCAGAAGTATTGCAAGTTCTCTTCGGCAGAAATTGGTCTACTGTCTTAAGTCTAGGGAGCTGTTTGTTTATATCCTGCTTTTATTATTTTTATAAAAATCTCAAGGCAGCGAATACATATAGCAGGCTCTGCAGTGTTCATTATACATTTGGGGGTGCGCTACAAGCATTGTAATGCATGATTAAAACACTGGGGACAGAGTTTGCCCCTGTAATACAGCCGCATTGAAGGAGAATGTACAAGGGCCAAAATAGCTTGCAAATACTTTTTTAATCCAAACTTTGAATCCTTAAATGACTTACCTTCCTGCACACACAAATCTAACTCAATCCTCCTTTCAGCTTCTAAGGAAGAGGGAGACTTTGCATTCACCAATTTACAGATTCCATTAAACCTTATTGGGCTTGTGTCCTACTTTCTTATCTTAATTTGTTAACTACACAATGTTGCATTGTATGCTGTTAATTGGAGACTTTCTTGCATAGGAAAGACACTATGTGTCCTACATAATGCACTGTGCATTAAATAGAAGCACTTGGATTTTAAGTTTAATTAGACCCATTGAAATCAATAGAATGAAATTGGCATAAATCTTAAGACCTTGCATTTCATTCCCATCTCATTAAAAGGCATTATATTACTTGCTTTCTGGCTTTTATGTATCATCTTGGCACTTAATAAGCTTACACAAGCAATCTAAAGGATTTAGATAGTTAATATGAAATATATCCCATCAGGAAGCATTTTGATTGTTAGTGTCACCAAAAGACTGAAATCTGCCTTAGGCCTTTGCAGCTCTTAATAATAATTTAGTCCATTTGAAGCATAATGGGTTTATTTGCAATTTCTCAAAAAAAAGAGAACAATATTATTTAATATAATTTATTGTTCTATCCAATCAAGTTGAAATATTAACAGATTAACAGAGTTGGAAGGGACCTTATAGGTCATCTAATCCAACACTCCGCTCAAGCAGAAGACCCTACACCATTTCTGACAAATGGCAGTCCAATCTTTTCTTGAAAGTCTCAAGTGATGAACTTCCGAAGGCAAGCTGTTCCATTGGTTGATTATTCTCACTGTCAGAAAGTTCCTCCTCATTTCTAGGTTGAATCTCTCATTGGTCAGTTTCCATCCATTATTCCTTGTCTGGCCTTCAGGTGTTTTGGAAAAGAGCTTAACTCCCTCCTCTCCGTGGCAGCCCCTCAAGTATTGGAAAACAGCTATAAACTATGGACTAGCCATGCCCAGTTCATGTAACCGTTCTTCATACGTTTTAGTCTCCAGTCCCCTAATCATCCTGGTTGCTCTCCTCTGCACTTTTTCTAGAGTCTCAACATCTTTTTTTATAGTGTGGTAACCAAAACTGGATGCAGTGCTCCAGGTGTGGTCTTACTTTATAGAGTGGTATTAGTACCTCACTTGATCTTGATTGTATCCCTCTGTTAATGCAATTTAGGATTGCATTGGCTTTTTTAGCTGCAGCTGTACACTGCTGGCTCATATTTAGCTGATTGTCCACTAAGACTCCATTATTAGCTACAATTATATAGACTATAATATTAGCTACAATTATATACACATTTTTTTCTGTTTTTCTATTCTTTAATTCTTTTTTATCCAAAGGAAAAATATCCTCAAGTAAATTTCCATTTAAAACAAACACGTTGATAAACTGATGCACAAAGGCTTTTTCCCATTGTCCTCCCTCTTTTGAATCCAATTTAGTTCAGTTAACAGAACTAAAGAGTCCTTCCATCTATTGAAGGACCCGAAAGAGTCTTTCCATCTATAGAAGGACATTGTTGGATCCAACAATTTATTTCAGTACACAAACACATTAATATACGGAATAAGAATCCTTATTCTAAGGGGGAGGCATGGAAGCAAACATGCCACTATTTGAGTCATAGCATTTATCCAAGTCTCATTTTATTATTTGGCTTGGTTTCCATTGCCATTCCAGATGAGTTCTTGGATGCATCATTTTATAACTTTTCACTATTTTATTAATGCGATAATAAATGCAACTTCAGTTTCTATTTCTAAGATGATTTTTCAACTTGGGACTAATATTTGTTGTTGTTGTTGTTGTTGTTGTTGTTTGACTTCACATCATCCCACCATGTTTCAATTTGGGACTAATATTTTTTTTTTGTTGTTGTTGTTGTTTGACTTCACATCACCCCACTCGCTTTCCCAGCATGGCCATTGATGTGAATAAAGATTGTCCACTTCTGGCTTATGACTTTGTCCTAAGAAATTCCATTGATTTACCATTCTCAGTATAGTTAGTAGAAGAGCGTCATGATGGCCTAGTGATGAAGACTCTCACCACCCACTTGGAAGATTGAGAGTTTATTCCTAGTGGCAGATGTTTCTCTCCTAGGATGCAAAGAAAAAAATATCTGCTGTGAACTCCATGTGGTGTCAGGAAGGGTATCCAGCCAGTAAATATTTATCTCCATCCAGTTGCCCTGGCTCTACCCCGAATTAAGGGATTGCAAAAAAGGGAGTATAGTTAGTAAAAATACTAGTTTAATAATCCTACAAATACCAGATTCTCTTTACACTATAGTTAATTGTAATGATACTAAAGTTAGGCTTGTTTACTTATATTTTTAGGTATTTTAATCTTGCTTTCTCCCAGTCAAACTAGCCTAACAATATATATTTGTATAAAATAGCATCAAAAATCTAAATATCAATGAATTAAACAGGCAGTATGATTCATAATTCCAAAAATACAATATCCAGGCAAAAGTCTTAAAATCAGACTTGGGAAGAAATTCTTGAGTATAAAAATAATATGCTAAAATAAAATACTGAGAATACCAAGGAAGGAACAGATTAAACTATTTAAGAGAGCGTCCGATTGATACCCATCTTTTGAAGAGAACACAGTTTACAACATGCAGGAAATGTCAGGTAGGTAGGATCCTAGACATTTAGGCTTTTATATTTAAACACATTGAATTAATCTGGAAGTCTTTAGGGACCCATGAAGCTTTGCTGGAGCTGGGTCCATGTGACACATGCTACCACTAGGAAATTCCCAACAATAACAGGCTGGCAAATTTTGGATATCCTGCAATTTCCAAATCTCTTTCAATGATATCCCCATTTAGAGGACAATACTGTAGTGTTCAATGCTTATTCAGAACCAAGAGCTGTGATCCAAAATAGTTGGTCATACTGAAGACTATTGACATCAATGGACTCAAGATGGATTATTGATGGAATAGTGGTCCAGATGTTAATTCAAATAGTTTCTGATTCAAGTTATTTCTCTCTACTCTTGTTTTTGCTGATTTCTTGGTACTTTCTTTTTGCTGATGTTCTTTGACAATTGTTGCTAAATACCTTAAAGAGCTCTCATTACAGGCTTGTACAAGTCATAATTGTACAAGTCATATGAAATCCAAGAAAGACATTGTTTGGTCACCTTCTTTGATAGTTTAACTTCAAAAATGACAGTTCACCAGGAACCATCAAGAAGCAATCAAACACAATATGTGTTTTGTTGATTCTGCTAATGCTGTGTGGGCTCAGAGTTGTGCAGAGTTGTGATTTCTGGAGAATGACGTCTATGCTCCATTTTTTTTTTTATTAACAAACTTAATGACATACTAAGGATAAAATCCAAAAGAGAAAAAGCTAAAAGAAAGAGAAATGTTCTAGAAAGTTAGTTACAATAGTCAGTAGAGGGTGTACACATACATGTCTAGAGAAGACATTTCAAAATAATGAAGCTACCCAAAATCTCCCCCCATCAGTTCTTAAAGATGGCATTTAAATTATCTAGCCTTAAATCTGGGCATATCTCTAAGAGGTGGATCCAAACACCCTTTTGTCATCAATCAACTACTTTTATGCCAGAAAAATTAAATAAACATGTTTTCCATGTCTGAAAATTGGCTTTCACTAATGTCTACTAACGCCTTATATATTGAGTAATTGTTTCATAAATATATATTGATGCAGAAAGTTGAGCAGAATGTTAATATTATTTAATGGAAGTGAAATGAAGAGATGTTCAGTGCAGTGAAGGTGTACATTTTACTATCAGTTAATTAACAGAACATGAGAAATCAATTGTTTTATTTGGCGTGTGACTCTAGACTGAGATGCAGGATGTACCGCATGGGAAGTCACCAGTTTCCCTTGAGACACCAGGCTTCATCAACATCTAGCCATTTAGAGAAAATGAACTGTCACTTCCTGTTTAAATTCCATTACTTTTTTAGTTCCTTTCCCCAATTCTGTGACTTATCATCCAAATAAAATGGCAACATTTATTATAAACCAGCACAGGACCACAAGGGCTGAATAACTTCCATCTTTTTTGTTCATTGTGAAGAAAGTGTTGACACTGGATGATTTCAAACTCTTGCTAAATGTATTTTTTATTAAATAATGTAGTAAAACTAAATCAAAGAGGAAAACAACAACAACAAAAGAACAAGTTGGAGAATTGCTGTAATTTGTATATTAGCTGCTGGATCTTTTGAACTGTTCTAATTCTAAAAGGAAAAGAAAGCAAGGGTATATATTTTGGATTGCTGTTTCACCACATGCTAGTTGGATAAAGGGCTATGTCATGAAGTAATATGATTAAAATGTAATCCTATGAATTCTTACATGATAATGAATCCTAGTGGAACCAATTGCATTTATGGTACTATTCTGGTGCCTTTCTGGAGGAAAATACTGTAAGTTGTTATTTAATTTAAGCTCATAATTTAGGACATGAAAAATGCAGTGAATGCAGAACCTACCTTACTCCAACCACAACAATAGAAGGCTATCTTGTGGCAACTGTTGGGAACCATGCAACTGTACAAAGAAGAAAGCATAACACAGGAACCAATGTTTCCTTGCATATACACATGTGCACGCAAAATGCATTTGGAATAATACTGTTGTGGCAAGAGTTAGAAGTTGATGTCTGCTTTATTTTTTTAAGAAAATAAAAGATGCTATCACTTTGTTTTTATTGAAGGAATTGGTTGAAATGCTTTTGGCAATGCTTTCTTCCCCTGGAGAGATACCCCAGGTCTACAATGACAAGTTAATATCCATAAATGTATTGCCAATCTTCACATGTTTCTTTCTCCTTCTGAAGTAATTCTTATTGCTATGTGTACTGAGAGTAGAATATTTTTTGTGATTTTTTCCTTTTTGGGGGGGAAGAGGGACAGTGATTTTTTCTTTTTCAATACTGATCTTTCTGGATCACAGTCTGGGAAGACAATATGAAAATTCTTCTCTGTTGAGCTTACTAGATAAGACTCAAAATTGCAATGCCACCTTCTCCTTCTCCTCCTCCTCCTGCTTTTTTTTCTTTTTTTCTTTTCTTTCTTTTTTCTTTTTAGTTTAGACAGGTGAGCATACTTAGGGAATCAGTACACAAGCAGTTTTTTTTTTTTAATTGATTTATATGCCACCCTTCTCCGGAGACTCAGGGCGGCTTACAATGCGTTAAGCAATAGCCTTCATACTTTTGTATATTTATACAAAGTCAGTTTATTGCCCCCATAATCTAGGTCCTCAATTTACCTACCTTAGAAAGGATGGAAGGCTGAGTCAACCTTGAGCCTGGTGAGATTTGAACTTGCAGTAATTGCAGGCAGCAGATGTAAGTGGATGTTAATTAGTCTGCTGAGCCACCAGAGCTCAGTGTTTAAAAAAATTAAGTTTGGAAATAGGCTTGTTCATTGTCCTTTAGCATTTTACTACTTAAAATTCAAGTTGTTGATACATATGAATTCACTTGTGGTTTTTTTAGGGGGGAATACTGAGAATGGTTGGCTTTTGATATAGCAGGTTCTTCGTAATTTTTGAAAAAAAGCCTAAATGTGTGTTCATGATGGAAAGATTGGGTAAATCCAAATTCACCCATCTTTACTAAAAAAGAATGTTTATTACAGCTTCTAAAGTTATGCATAATTTATAATTATATATCATAATTTGTGTTGGTTTTGGCCACTGTGGTTAGCAAATTGAAGTTATGACTTAGCATGTTATAAGAACCCAGTAAAGTGGAGCTTAGCAAATAGACCCTGATTAAGGAATTCATAGCTTCCCAGTTAAATTTATAGCCTTGGTGTTCCTTGGTAATCTCAATTCTAATCAGACTGAACCCTGGTTAACTGTCAAGCCCAAATAAGATCATTTAAAGCATTGCCACCTGTTAAGATTTTCTCCTTCCTGTTTCCTGATCAGTGTATAGATATCCCTATAATGTTTAGGCTAATGGAATAGTTTTTCAATTACTTGTCTATTGATTGATTGATTGATTAGCATATAGAATTGATATTCTGTGGTGGTTTCCCATTCAGACATGGTTGACCAGACCCAACCATGTTAGTTTCTAAGCCCAGACAAAAGCAGCAGGATGCTGTTACCTGCTGAAATGCAATAAGGTTTAAGATCATGCTGGCTAAGAAATTCCAGGAGTTAAAATACACGTAGCTTAAAGTTGTTAGGGTTGCAAAATACTGATTGGATTTTGGTGACGTGCAATCAGTAACATTTGCATTGTCACTTGTGGGTAGTATATTTCATGAATGTGTGTTACTTTGCTACATGGGTAGTTACAGTGGGTGACCCAGATTATCCAACTACTGACAAACCAGAATACCATGCAATTGACACAGGATAAACAACTGTTCCATTTCATAAGACCATAAACAATTCCTTAGAAGAAAGGAGTGAGCCATGGGTCCTATGTGGTCCCAATACTCTTTCTGTGGCCCTGAAAGCATCCCGAGAGAAGGACAAGGGGGAGTGAAAGGGTAACATGGTGCCTTAAGTTTTGCAGAGACTTAAAGCACCTATTTTGTGCCTTGATCTCCCTGTAATCCCAACTCTCTCCAAAATGGGCTGGACATTTTTGATCTCATTCATTCTGATGGCTTCATGAATCACTAACCGTACCTCCTGAAGTCTTGGGGGGGGGGAATAGATAAATCAATAAATGTTTTACTCCCATTGACAAGAAAATTGCTTGCCTTGCCTTGATATCTTCATAAGAAATAACCGAGGGAACTCTACAACACCAAACTATGAATAGATGGGATGGTTGTTGTTTTCTTGTAGTGTGTGTTTATTCTTTACTTATAGTTTGAATGATACAATTAGATAAAATTTGGATCATCGTTAGATGCCAATTCTAGTGTTTACATCTACTGTTACCATGAAACCTTATACCGTTATTTGTGTAGTTGAGTTAAATGGGGCTGAAGCCAGTTGTGTGGCTTGACAACAAGCACCCATTAATTAATTTAGGTATATATTTTCAGTCCCAATTGATTTTATGCTGAAAAATAGAGGGATGAATATATATCTGGCAGACATTGCTATTATCGGAATGGAACAATGTGACATTCAAATTTAACTGTTTGGCTCAGTTTTATTTATCTTTTGTTTTTCATTGATCTGTCTACATATAACAAGACCTAATTTTTCTTTAGTAGAGATAAAATGTTCCATGATTTAAATCAAAATTTATGCTTGTTCCTAAAACCAATATATTGCTGACATGCCTAAGACACATTGAAAATCTGCCATATTATGATACATTGCTAGCTTCCGCTGTATTGAACAGCCCAAGAGTGTCTTCTTCATCTAGACCGCTTCTCGTCCCATTTCATTCTACAGTTGATATCAAATTCCAAATGTAGCCTCAAATTTTGAAAAAAAAAAGTGTTTCTAAACATGTTATGTCTGCCAGTAAGCAACAGGTGTAATCTAGGTCAGTAGCCCTCATGTTGGGCATTCTGAGAAGTTAGGGGAAAATGTTCAACTATCTCTCCTTTTTTTATATTTTCCTCTGTCATCCATGTTGGCCAAGAAATAAAGTTTCCCAAGTTGTCATTTTGCCCAACTGTAGCAGGTAGTTGGCACATTGGACATGAGGCACAGAAAACACATGAAACAATGAATCTCTCTCTTGCTTTCTCTGTTTCCCTGAATGTCCCTATCCATGCTAAAAAAGCACATTGAAAATCAATTTAATTTGCACCATGGTCTTTTTGTTCCAGTAAAAACCAAAAACCAGGGTTCGACTAATCCTTCCTCTAGAATTTGCTTTCGAAGATAGTATCCCCTAGGATGTAGACTCAGTTCCAAGTCAGTTTTGTAGACCATGTATCATGTCTTAATACACTATATGGGGATTAAAACCAACAAATGAACAAAAATAGCCTTAGCTCTTCTTTTTGTTTTCTATGGTTATTGTTGTATAAAAGACCTAAACTGTAAATAATGTATATTTAATAAAGAGAGCTTTTTGTATGATTTTGTGTTGAATACCAGCACCATGTGCTATAATTCTTTCCAATATAGAAACAGACTGTGGGGGTGATGGGAGAATGATAATCCTGAAAAATGATTGTATTCTGTTCTTGTGGGTGATTAATTCCTACTGCCCAAGCAGTGTTGTAAACAGTAATAAAATGTGAAGCTCCCACAACTCAAGATTTATTGATTTCAAACACTGCTAAAAGTGCTGTCAGGAGTCATTTGATTGCTGCACAGCATCCTAGACTCCCATAACTAATCATGGTTTGTTGTACCTGCCTCTGAAATACACAAGGACACCATTATCTGCTGAACAATGTTCAACAGAGATCCAGTTGGTATCTGTTTGCAAGACACTCGGAATCCGCAGGAAACTCTGCTCCTAGGTCTATGCCCCCAATTTCTTAGGGGCTCTCCTGTCACACAGGATGGGGGAGGAAGGTCAAGAAAAGTTTTGTGATGGTCCAGAAAATCTTGTTTGTCTCACTTTCCCTAACCTGTTGTGGGATTGGAATTGAAAATCCTTCAGAGCAGGTAAGGTCAGGAAACAGACACCACAAGGATTGCTGGAACTTTATTGTTATTAAATAGAATAACAAAAGCCTGAAAGCCTGAGCAACTTTTCCTCAGTCACCGTTTGCGCTAAAGAAAATCAAGATTATCCTTAGTTTTGTCCTCCTCTTGCACCAAAGAAAATGGAAATTATCTTGAATTTCTTTCTGATCCCCCCCTCCTTCTTTCTCAAGGCTAAGAGGCGGTTCGCCTAATCATTCTTTTATTCCTTCTTCAAGGTTAGATCTGGGCTTTTCTGCAGGAACCAGGTTACTTGAGAGAGAATCAAAAATAGGCTGCCATCAGGCATCCTACCCTCTCTTATCTGTACTGTATGTCTGTATTCAGTGACATAATTTGATTTTTTTTTCCTACTTCCTCTCTCAGAAAGGAGTTTCTGCTTCCAACGCAAATTCTTTTCCCCTCTACAGGGTCTCTTTCACTTGGGTGAGAAATGAACAAAGAAATGCAGACTCTCAACCACGACAGTGTCAGTTATTACAAACACAATGCTGAGGTGCCTAGAATTGCCAAAGCCCTGTTTAACAAGCATGGCAAAAGAGATAGATACGTTGCACAGAGAACAAAAATAAATGACAAACACCCATCCACCCCCAACACAAGCTGCCGGCAGTATCTATGATGCAGCGTGGAAGTTTTAAATTACAGAGGAATTCTACTTTGCACACAGCATGATGGATTAATTGTGCCAGGACTAACTGGTTCCAGTACTGGTTCCTGCCATTATCCCTCAGTCTCTTTGACACTGTCTTGCATCACAGACAATTAAAAGCAGTGAAGGTGTGGACAGGCTGCCTAGAAAATAGCCAGTGTGCTGCCTCTGTGAGTCCTCTCCTCAACCAGCACAGCAATGTGGGGGGGGGAGAGAAAGAGAGAGGGAAAGGGAGTGAGGTTTGCTTGTATGTGGAAATAAAGCAGCCTGAAGTAGCCAGGAAAAAATAACTTTCTCTAGCAGAACTCCCAAGGAGTAGGGAGTTGGAGTAGCAGTGATGTAGTGGTGAATAGTGAGTAACAGCTATGAATCAGTGGTGGGTTTCAAATAGTTTTACTATCAATTCTGTGGGTGTGGCTTGGTGGGCGTGACATGGCTTGGTGGGCGTGGCAGGGAAAGATTACTGCAAAATCCCCATTTCCACCCAATCAGCTGGGACTTGGGAGGCAAAGAATAAATGTGGGCAGGGCCAGTCAGAATTTTTACTACCGGTTCTCCGAACTACTCAAAATTTCCACTACCGGTTCTCCAGAACTGGTCAGAACCTGCTGAAACCCACCTCTGCTATGAATGCTTGTTTCTACGTGTTGTCTAGGGACCTGTGTTGTTGTTGGGTCTTTTGTATTTGGAGCCCACTAAATTAGGTATGGTTAAAACAACCCACGGCACATTGAGTTTATTAACAGGCTCCAGAGACCCCTGCAAGGCTCCACAATAACATGCTGTACAATAATAAAAGATTGATAGGAAAGCTGCATATAAATAACTCATCACTGACATAACACATTTGCAATCCTTAACAGGCCAGATTTGTTTCTTTGTACTCAAATGCCTGATTTCTAGCATCACTTCTTGGGGTTGCTTCTGAAGTTTTTAGTTTATTGCAGAGATCAGCATTTCTTCTGTCTAGGGTGCTGGTGAAGTTGGCCAGCTGTCCTATTCTTTTCCTTGCACAGCTCCAAACTTGCTTGAGAGTTAAGTCTCAGCTGCTGGCTGCCTTCAAAATGTTTATCTTGGGAGGGGCAAATTGACTTCTCTACCTCCTTTACAACTGGCCAGTTAACTGTTCATCATGTGACCTTCATGGTTTGGTTAGCATAATCCTAAAAACGGCCCTCTTTATGCTGAATGCTTTGAATGCAATCTGTCTGAAAGCCAAGAAGTACTCTATTTTCTCTCAAACAGGCATGCCTAATAAGCTGGTGGCAGAACACAGGTCAGAATTGTCCTGTCAAGCCCACATTGGTGTATTGGATCTGTATAGTAGAAGCAAGTGTCAGGAGGAATGAGATTGGGTTTTCCATATGAGCAGGGGTGGGCTGCTGGGGGTTCACAGGGGTTCGAAAGAACCTCTAGCTAAGATTCTGTGCAGTTCAGAGAACCCTCAAATCCCACTCCTGGTGGCCCCGCTTACCCAACCTGCCCCTCCCAGGAGTCTCCTTTTGGATGCAGCCCACTTGGATGCAGATAAGTGCAGGACGCGCACGGAGGCTCAGGAAGGGTGAAAAATGGGCCTACCGGAAGTTTGGGAAGGCCAGAAACGGGCCCATTTCCAGCCTCCAGAGGGCTCCGGAGCCTGGGGAAGCCATTTTTGCCCTCCCAGAGGCTCGAGGAAAGCCTCTGGAGTCCGGGGAAGGCAAAAGCACTCCCCACCCTGCCATGGTGCAGGAGGCCAATTAGGCCACACCCACCATGGCCACACTCACCCAGCAACCAGGCAGTGGTTGGGGACAGAACACCCTTGATAAAATTTTTGGAGCCCACCCCTGCATATGAGAAAGTGGTGACATGTACAGTAAGGGAGCAAGGCATGCATTTCCTGAAGAGAAGCACCAGACAAACATTAAGAGTGCTTCACCTTTCTTCATTCTCTACTTTCTTTTTGCAATCCTGGCCCTGGCCCTGGCCCTGGCCCTGGCCCTGCTTGTGCTTTGTGGGAATTCTGATAGCTGGAGATGAAAGAAGTGGGAGAGGGGAGGACGAAACATCTTAGAGTGTGTGTGGACACCCTAAAAATGCTGTGGAGCAGGCATAAATTTGGGTAACCTGTATTGACAATTGAACTAACTATTCCATCTGTATCTTTCATTAATTATGACTTTTTCACAACATATCTTTTATTTGCTTACACACTTCATTCATTCTACTAATATCTTGTCTCTCCTCTGGGAACTCAGGAAAATACATGGGGCCCTGCCTTCATTTTAGTTTCACACGAGGAACAATTTTGGACTAAGGAAGAATACATGGCTCAAAATAACCCACTGGTCTCTATGGCTAAGCAGATATTTGAACCCGAGACTATAGAGTTCCAGCTTACCATCTTAAACATTACTTCATGATGGCTTTCAAGTTACTTGTCTTCTGCTCCCAACAGTATGGTATGCAGCTTTGCAAGAACCACTAATTTAGTAAATATAAAGCATCTGTCAAAATCTATCTCACTCATGCACACTTGTTCCTCATCATATCAGAAATAACTTGCTTACAACAATTTCAGTGCCACCAAAGGGGGTTCTATTTTATCTATTGTAGGTGAAGATTATCAGTTTGAGAAACAAATGTGGATGACTAGCAGATTTGAAGAGCATGAATTTACAAAGAATTTCCTACATTCAGATGCTATCTCAATTTAATATTTTTTTGTGGTGAAACTGATGTTCATTATCAGTTTATGTAGTGCTTCCCATTGTTATTCTACTTCGGACAAGACAAGACATCTCAAAACATTGTGACTATCAGACTGTTCATTAAACGATTTGACAATTAAATTGGCCTTGTGCATGCATGAAATAGCTTTGATTTCAACCTTAAGAAACAGTTGCAATAATTCCTTTTGGCAAGCTGCTCCATTACCCAACTGTTCCTACTAATTCTTTTGCCCATTGTATTAAAGCCCTCAATCTGTGCAGCTGCTGTTTAAATCCATTGCCAACAAAAAGATGTATATGTCATAATCTATCAAGCTCTCTTCTAGTTGCCTAATTCTAAAAATGAATCCCCCAGGACAAAAGACGGGTTTAGGAAAGTGATTTTTGGCATTTTCCCTGAGGGACATAGCTCACATTTGGATGAAGAGAGACATTCTAGTGTAATGTGACATTAAGCAGAAATCAGAACAGAGTAGGAGCAGAAAGTGCATTCTTAATTCTGCATAGATTGCACTCCCAAGTGTGGTTACTCAGAAGCAAATACCCCTGGGTTTCAGAGGTCCAAATGTAAAGGATTTTAGCAGAGGAAAAGTGGAAAGGCAGCTTGGGATCCTATGTGATTTCTAGATTGACACAAGCAGGGTCCAGTTTATTGATTAATATACAGTAACAGGATTCATATGTACCAAGAAAGCTGAAAACTTTACAAACCACCATGGTTGGGTCCCGAAATTGTGCTAAGACAAAAATTCACCAACCACATGGTGGCTTAACTTACTGTGTGAGCTTTTTTTCTTTTTTTCTTTTTTTTTTAAAAAAAGAAATGGCTCTCTCAAGCTCTAAAAGTATAGCTTCCTGCAATGGCTTCTTTCATGGGGCAGTTAATTTCACAGTAGGACACCTGGAACAGAGCAAATGGGATAGAGAAAGGAGCCAGCATGCAAGCAATGCAGAGCCTGCAGCTTATTAAATAAACACTCATCAGTGGGAAACCTTTCCGAACTTTGGGAAAGGAGAGCTGTAATAGAGGCCAACCTGAGAAGTTTTGCTTCTGGGTCTTTCAGAGATCTCACCTTTATGTTTTGTTTTGCTTCTCAAAAATTGCAACAGCAAACCAATTAACGGCCTACATTTCAGGTATCTTTGGATGCCAGTTGGAACAAATTCCCATTCAGAACTCTAGTGGGAGGCTTGAGGCAGACAACTGAAAAGATGCAGACCTTGTTCAAACCCGATTTAAA